CATTATCACCACCTATAAGAAATATTTATTCAAATATTTAAAATATTGGATCTGCAATATTTCTACGATGAGAGACGGTATGTGCTAGGAGCTAAGATAACTTTTAATTGTGGATCATCTGGACATCCAGATTCAAAGGCACGTTGTACTAAAAATACGTTGGTACTAAAAATAATGTCTACAATTCTGGTTTGATTGATTACTTGTGACCCGAGGTGACCATATATTTTGATTTTTAAGATTAATTTCTCAGATGAGATAGGACAGTACGCATTATCAACGAAAGTAGAGACGAAAAAAGCTACACTTTTCATGTATTGAATTTACCACCAAGCTCGGTAGAGTCTCCACTCTTAGCTTCTTACAAATCTAGACATCATTGAATTATTGCTTTTTCTGACTACAGTTTGTTGCGGGGACTGGGATCATATTATATGAAAAATTTTAAAACTCATAACGGATGAATAAAAAAGATCTGGATTTCAGTAAGGATTTGCGAAAATGTGGAGGTTACAGGGAGAAACAGGTAACCAACTCGCATCTTCGAGCGCATGGCTCTGAAAACTTGAATATCTTTGAGCGAAAGAGGTGAGGCCGTCTATCTGTAACTAAAATTTGACGAGTCCTTCCGTAGCTTTCTGATTTTCAAGAGAACGGTCAGAAGTTGTGGGGGTGATTGTAGTACGGCTCGCATGCATTCCAAAAATGCTGTAACCTATCATACCTGCTAAGCAACCCAACGGTTTGACTGTTGTTTTTGAAGTGAAGAAGATAATGCCGTGAAACTGCACGCAGAGGCCACTCTAGGAATCCATCTGCTGCGTATGTTACTATTGTCTATCCGTTTAATCCGTTTATTGTGTACCTACATGAACAGAATTTACATATACTTTTCGTTGGGATATAAGCAAACTGCCTTATCTCCACCCTTCAAATGACAGATTGCGGGGTATGCACCAATTTATGTAAAGAGGCGCTTCGGAGTAAAATTTAATTCTTATCATATGATACATAGAATAGTTAAAAGACATAATAATAATATGATTGTTCAAAATTTTTAGTATTACCTCTGTAAAGTAAAATGCACTATTATTTTGAGCATATTATATATTAAAAAATGATTATAACCTGCGTTTGAAGATATTCTGAACATCTATGTCGCTGTTTAAAGTGAACCAATAAAGAAAGTTTTGACAGTATGAAATTTTTGCTTGTTTTTCGTAAAGATTTTTATATTTATAAATCAATTTTTAATCAAATAGATTCAAATAAGTCAAATACAACAATGTCTTTTGTGCTTTTTGTTGTCTACCATAGATATCCTTTGATTCAGAAGTACTGAAGATTGTTAATTTCGATTCTCGAGAATTGAAGTTATGAAAATCTCAGAAGGCATATCGCAAACACTGTGCCAACTTAGTAGGAATTTCAAGTTGTCTAAGAAATAATATATAATATTTCATGGTACGTTCCGCTGTATGTGGACTATATGTAGTTTAGCTTCATCGTAAGAGCTGGTGAGATAGTAGAGCGAATCTTGTTGGAAGATAACCATGGTTCAAATGTGTCCCTTTTCAATTGGTTGAAACTCTCTGTACGTTAAAAAAACCCAGGAAGCTCGACAGGGAAAGATGTGTTCACCTAAAATTTGTTTCAATCCTATTCTGAATCGTGGAATTCGTTTCTAAGATTGATCGATGTACTACACGGATCACGAATGGGTTGTAAATATCCCAACAGCATCAATTCGTTTCACTGTCAAAGTTCTCTTTTCTTCTGGATCTAATCTGAAATGTGGCTGCATAAGAAGAGAACAGCAATTCTTCCGGCCATTGGGCAGCAAGGCAATGGTATAAGTACATGATGTTCTTCAGATTGAGTCCTTCTGATCACTTTCGTAAGTCCGTAGTATATAACTGACTAACAGTAAATTGAATTTGCTGAGATGGGGAAGAGAGAAAAGATAGTTCCTTAGTTCAGGACGGCCAGCCAGATGAACATACCTTGACCCGAGCTCCAGGACCGCCGTTAGTGGGGAAGAGGACGAGTCAGAGAGAAACAGGATTGTGATATCTGACCCTTGTTTTGAATCGAGAATTTATTAAATGCACTATGTAGTTCATCCTGTGAACAGTTTTAGGCGCGCACGGTTTTCCATATTTGATCATATTATTCGTACGATAGTCTCATTGATTGGAACCACGGTGGACTATGCTCATGCGCATCCCCTGGCCCTTTCAAGCAATAGGTGTGCAGTGGTCGTGGTCGTAATTTCCGTGCCTTTGACGCCAAAGATGGCTGATGCTGACCACGGTCTTTTCATTGACCTGAAACTCGTCCCTCAATCGTGCGTAGACTATGATATAAACGTGGATTGATTATAAAATTGTCACTCGCTTGATGATCAGGCAATTCGGGAACAGGCTTCTTTGGAGGTCAAGAACTTCAGTCTACCGCGTGAATTTTCAATTTAAGAGCAGAGTGAAATGAGTTTTAAAGTGATTTATCCGAAGTGCAATGCTATCTATCTTGAATCTGCCTTTATCTTACGTTGATTGTGGTAATAGATGTGCTGGAGCTTGTTCATGATAGCTGTTCTTTGGGGTTCAAATTCTTCAGTCCTGAGCTTATTGACACAACCTTAGGATAATCTGGAATGGTAGTGAATGGTATGGAAACCGTGCCACTCACAACGATGAAGAATGACATTCAAATGTGGACCGGTAAGTCCATTTTATTTTCTCCCAAATGAACTGACTGACATCTACAGTCTGTGTGCAAGGGTTGCGTCTCACGATGAGAGAGAAGAGGTACTCCGTGGATTAAATACAGGTTGTCTCGAAAGTACAAATATGACAAATATCTCTCCCGCTTAGCGATGAGGAGCAATCGAAACTTGAGCCAGCGTCAGCCGTCCCGTTGTGAGAGGACACCGAATCACAAACAGTGCTGCGAGTGCTAGAGGTTTATTGGAGCAGATTGCAGCTTTGTACACAGTACGTACCTATCACTCCTACTCTTCCTCAAGTCCCCTGTCTCTACGCATGCTCGAATGGTAGATAGATGGTATATTGCAGAGGCAGTTCATTGATACAATGTCTTCTATTCATCTACATCCGGCCATAAAGTGCAACTTTCCACAGCAAATCCAACCTTAAATCTCTCCTTGTGGATTAAAATCGGATAGAGAAAGATAATTTCTGTAGCACGACGCATGCATGCCTGATATGTCTATCTACCTATCTGTCTGCTTCGATTCTACGGTTAAGTACCAGTGGTGGTTCTGATACAGAGGTCTGTAAGGGTGCAGATTATCTCGCACATTCGATGGATGTTATATGCAGCATTCGAACAGGTAGCAGATTGCAATATTTCGTCATGTCCAGCAGTATACTTCGGACCTTGGAGAAGGTATTCGTTTTGTTCCTGTTTGTTCGTAGTACTAGAGAGAGAAGGTCCTCGATTTGAACTGTAGAATTAAATTTCCCTTTATCAGCAGCAGCAGGCTAGAAGTTATTTGTATGTTTGTCTTTTCTCACTTTGGTTTACGGCTAACAGGGTTCAGATTAGCAGTAGCAAGACAACAACCTTGGACGAATTAGTTACCAGAAAGATGTGTGAATTTCTCGGGAACTGAGCTTCTGAGAATTGGCTCCCTGTTGATTCCTGTTCGTGAAGTTCGAACGGAAGTTTGCATTAATTGTGTGCCGTTCATTATTCCTATTTTTACGCAGATGCCTCAGACAGGAGCTTTCCCCACTGACTTCTGGCCCAAGCTTCCGAAAGGTAAGTCATTCCGAAGAGTATTCTCTCCCATTTCCATTCCCAATTCATGCAGGCTTCACAATCCGAGTGTTGAATTTATGTGAACGCTTTTGAGAGTCCAGATCCACAGATCAGCAGGCAGTAGGCAGAGCGTACATTGGAGATTTGACAGGACACTCAATCAAGGAGGTAGAAAGTTCACTCCACAAGGACCCTCGGCACCTTGCTACTTTCAGTTGATGTGTTTTTCCTAACGATTTGTGTCTCATATTCTCTAGTTGGCAAAATTTCTGGCCACCTAAAACTCCTCTGGTATACTCTGGTCAGTGATCAGTTCAAGTGTCAACAGAAACCAGATCTGGTCAAAGGAGTTGATAAAATCCTAAAGAGTAAGTACTTGTCTCTCGGATGGAGGGGGTCATGGCACGTTCGGCAAGTAACTGTCCTTTGAGCCGGTTTCTGGACCCATTTGATTTCGGTCGAACAGGGAGGGGACTGAGAGACATGAAACTTGTGGACACTTTCTGGTACAATTTCTTGTACTTGAATGAGAAAAAGGACGTGAGAATTCCACAGATAAAGGACATGGAAGGGGACAGAATCGGAAGGTGGTCATTTGGAAGTTGCAAGTTAAGAGAAAGAACATTTTGCATGACTGGGGACAACGTGCATTAGGGCCACAATAATTGCTGGATAATGAAGGGTATCTGATTCGTAATTTCCCTTCTACTCTTGGACTTGGAAGCCTTCGCCCTCATCTCTCTCCTTCTAAGTTGAATAACATGCTTTCGTCTTTCGATACGTGTGAATTGTATTTGACTGTGATGAAGAAGAAGTGATTCGTGATCTCAAACAGTACCCAGCTACAAAAGTAAATGTCTCAGTGATTTCAATTTAGAGGGAGGTATAACCAAACTGCACGTGAGAGAGGAATTGCGTAACCCGCGAATCGGGGCATTTGAGCATCCACATCCGTCCTCAACAACTTGACACATGAAACAAATGCGACGCAAATCTGGACAGCTTGTGGACAACTACTCCATTAACGAGGACAGGGAGCTCGGTAACCCGGAATCCAGGTCGGATCAAGACGAGAGAAATTTCCTTATCTGAAGTTACGAGATGAGAGAGTGCATCGAGCAGAGTGCAAACTCTATTCACACAACTGGTGAAGTCCATAGATCATCTACCGCGAACTCTTATGTTTGAAGCTTGCAAATTTCAAAAACGTTCTTCTCGGTAACCCAATTTTAAACCCTTAGTTAGAACCTCTTGGTACATTTATACCCTATAACAACAACAGATGGTCTTAGAGGAAATCAGTCTGTCATTGTCATTGATCGGTCCCCTGCTTCCTGCACCTGAGCAGGCCGAGCTACTCTTACTCCTTCTCCATCCCCGAACTCCCACGCCTGAACATGATTCCCTCCTCCTTCTCCTCGATCGCATCAACGAATCATCTCACCGAGTGGAACAAATCACGCGAGCTACCCTCCCTCACTCCACGCACCCTGTGTACTGATCGCAGCGTTATATACCATCACAGGCGCGTGAGGAAATCGACTGGTCCGTCTGGCACCATCTTGACTACTGACATTCACAGTGTATCATTTTTTCATATACTCTACATTTGTATCTACAACCTCCATTCTTGCCTTCAAATCCACACATTTGATGGTCTACATAGTAAGTGAATATCTAAGAAACCTGGGGGAAAATGTCCAGATGGTTGGGAAGATCCCATCGTGGATAGGAAATGTCATCTGTCCATGAACTTCTTTCGGATGTGCAATCGTTCAAACTTCCTATCCTCCAAAGCTGCATGCTCTGACCCCTTCTCGCTCTCAGAGCCTCCGCAAGACGAGAACTTCCATATACAACGGTGTGCACATGTTCTTCTGAATATCCAGCGATCTAGCCTTCCCATCGACTTGTAATCTAAACGAACAGATCAGAAAGTATAATCTATACAAATATTTGGCAGGTTTTTTGAGATAGCAGCGCTTGTCAACATCTATTCTAGTATTGTCTCCACACTGGTGCCAACAATATAGCAACACTCACAACAAATCGAATCAACGTGTTTAATCAATATGTCTAGATCTGGAATGTGTTCCACTCACTACCTTAATATTTCAACTCCTCTCCGAGGAAAGTATGCCTAGACTGACGATGTCTTCAAAGCAAATGATGGAAGAAGCTTCGGTGAGATGCAAGCAACCGTTGTCAAATTGGTCGTCGATGGATCGATACAGATGTCAGCTCCGGGAAAAACAGTATTTTGTCCCAGTGTGAAGACGCTGTTATTTTGGACTAGAGACAGTGACACGTAAAGCGCATCGAGGATGGATTCCACTGCCACTGTTGTCAACAACAACAAATTCCAGCGTCAGAAAATACAGCCCACATGAGACGGACTAGAGAACTAAGCACACCTAACATCACATCGGAGAACCGAAACGCAATCAATATCGAGCTGGATTCCTGCTCACAGAGTGAATTACCTCACTGGGTCTTCTTGGGGTCTATCAAGTTCTTGGCGTCCTTCGCATTGACGGCTACGGCCGCTGCGGGGTACTACGTTTATGATAAAGTCAAGGAACAGAAAGCAAAGGAGAACTATGCAGAATGCAGAAACCTAATGTCGGCCCATGATAATGACAGTGCCGAAACAATACGGATCAAGAAACGTGCAATCCTTCGAAGGCTGGTCTATGGGACGTATGACAGGTTCAGAGGTGCAGAAAATTACGACGAATGGTGGACCAATGTGCACTATCGTCTTGTCCCGCTTGAGTCAGTATTGTCTGTGGACGAGCGTAATTCCTATGCAGAAGGTGCGTGTTGTATCGGACTCACATGATCCATCTCGGCCTGAACCCCATCTGAATTCGACCTTGCTTGACTCAACAGTAACGAGCTGTTCAGCTCTCAAAACTCAAATTCAAAGTTCAAATTTGAATTCAAACTTTGAATTTGAACCCAACGAATTTGAAAATTAGTTGCAGTTGACATCTACTTCTCAAGCATCAGAATCGTCTAAGAAGTGAAATACTGGTGCTGCTTCAAGTGCGGGTGGAAGTCACAAATTACCGGTAGATCACTATCTGGTACGTTATTACCAGATGTCAAGGATTGCTCTGGTGGACTGGGATCACAGTATGTACCGTCATCAGGCAGTGGACTGGGATCACAGTATGTACCGTCATCAGGCAGTCTATGGTGGTAGACGATACTTCCACGTCTGAGCAGTAGTACTTCAAGAGCGGAGCCGAACGATAAGTGTGATGGAACTCCCAATCAGCATTGTATCCATGTAGACCCGTGATAATTCAGATCCAAAATTGACTCACTGGCGTAGAGACACGAATGCCTGCGGCTGCCTCAGGCGGTTCACCAGCGCGCTGAATGCGTGCGACAGGTCGAACCACTTGAGGATGGGGCAGTAGCCTACGCAGCCGGCAAAAGTGAATCGGAAGGTGATCCGTGGAGGCGTGGAGGCGTCATCGTCGTCGACACTTAGGTCTGCCTGGTGAACTTCAGCCAGCAACTCCCAAGACTCGATGCGTCCCGAACTGCTTTCGGCATGGAGTATGAATCAATCGAAGACTAATTTGACCCCTCCCCCACGTCCACGTCGATTGCTGGCGGCTGCGGGAGGCTGGGACGAGAAATCGAGTCCGGAATGAAGCAAAGGAATGCACTCACCCGCCCAACCCATGGGCTTGGGCGGGTGAGTGCACCTCCGCCGGCAGCCGGCAGCCAGCCAGACCGGCCGTGACTACAAGCGAAGAAGGGGCGGCCGCTCCAGAGAGTCCCGCAGCCAGGGCGAAGGGAACTGTCAGCCCGTCGGACATACCGATGACCACATCGCGAACGAACTCCCCCGCCGTGAAATGCTTCTCTACGTGATGCGACTCGTGCGTCGCCATCGCTCGTCCTCTGCTGAGGCTGTGGCCGTCAAAAATTTCAACCTGCTTCGCCCTCCTCCTCCTTCTTCCTTCGGGAGCGGGCACTCGAACAATCGATTGTTCGAGTGCCCTGTGCCGCTGCAGAATGTGTCGAGTGCATGCTATTTACCGCCTTGAGGGGCGAGACGCGGGCGAGGATCGATCGAGAGGCTGCGATTAGAAAATCGACGACAACCGGCTTCTAGTAGTGCCGACGACGCGCAGCGGACAGTGCCAGAGAAGGACGCATGACGTGCGTCGCCGCCCTGCCAGCTCACTCACAGGCCCCCCCTCGCCAAAGTGGCGAGGGGGGGCTGGGGAGTATGCCCAAAATTGCACAAATTGTGTTCTGCGCAAGCAATAGTTTCGACAAAAATACTTCCAAGACCAACATGCAAGTCTGCCTCTGCCTACATTAGGAATCTCAGCAATCTCCTTCTCCTCTCTCTTCCTCTTGGGGCAAATAAGGACGAGAGGCACTAGAGTACGATTACGAGCTACTACTTTGCCGCCACAGTAAGTATCTTGAAAGCTCCGAGTCGATTATAAACTCATGCTAGAATAGCGTGAATTTATAATTGACTCAAGATTATTACAGAAATCCCAAGACAGCGTCACAGTAACAAAGTATGCAAAGCTCGGGATGCAAAATAAAAAAGCACTGTGAGCTTCTTACTTACTTAAACAAGAAAAGGTTACTTTTTTTACTTTAAAAAAAGTACATAATTTCCATGATATTTTTTACATGTTCAAAATCAATAGGCTGCAAATTACCCTGCTCAATTTAGAAAAATACATCTTACACACAAGTTTAAAAACAGTGCATGTTCATTACATTGCATTGGTAGATTTTACTAGTCTATCAGATGAAAAAAAAACTATAATAATTTTAATTTGGTGAAAAATGAATATTTTAGCTGAAGTTACTATGATTGATAAAAAGAGTTCATCAATCTACTCATGTTATACACAATTTATTCAGTGTAAAAAGATTGAAGAAATAGATAAGGAGTTGCAAAATTTATCAAAGCTTTTTAAATAGCAAAGAATAATTTAATAATTTAGTTTGTGATCAAATTAAACTTTTATATCTTCTTTCAATATTTTTTCAGAATTTTCACTTCATTTACCATCATTAATGGAAAAAATATAAACTTGTACAATACATAAAATTTCATGTATAATAAAAATGAAGATAACTTAAGTTTAATAGGTAGAATCTAGGTAAAATCAATTATCCTTGTGACTATATGATAGAAGCTTAGTGAAATGACTTTCAAATATTTAAATAGACTTAACATACAGAAAAGATTAATATTAATACAAAGCCGTGATAACATGAAAGAATTTGAATATTTTTGGTGCAAAGATAACATTCAGTCCTGAGGGTTTGGGGTTTAAACCCTAAACCCTAAGGATTAATAAAGGGGGTCCAGGTCTATCATCTACCTTATTTTTATATATAAACCCAGTTATAACAACTTATTGGACTGTATAGTCTTCGTTTAGGGTCTTACCGTTACACCTATGTCGATGCACGAGGCCCCCTCGTTCTTCTCATGTCACCAAAGAGCTGATCGCTTTTCACGTTCTTCACAACATCAACTCACCAACCACGTAGATAAATTACTACGTACTTCTGGCTTCTGTTCTTATACTCTCCCGCAGTTGGATGCTCTCTCCCTATCAATTGAGAATTAATTGGTCGGATATAAAATAAGTGCTTTAACCCGATTGACGTTATTTGTACTTGGTCCACTCACTGACATGACCTCGGATTATGTGTCTGACACGGCTGAGTCTGCTGTTCGACACAATCATTTGCACCAGTTACGTTCATAACCGCTTTCCCGGGGAAAGCGCAGTTATGTCCCACTCACTGAAAACTTCGAAATTTGAAAACATTGAGAGCGATGCCGGCGGCTTCACGAGTTATGTCCCACTCACTGAAAACTTTGAAATTTGAAAACATTGAGAGCGATGCCGGCGGCCTCACGAGTTATGTCCCACTCACAGAAAACTTTGAAATTTGAAAACATTGAGAGCGATGCCGGCGGCTTCACGCGTTGCCCAATACAGCGCAGCCCATGACGCCATGGGCTGCGCTGTCGTCTTGGACTGTCCGTCAAGCACATTCAGTGGTTTCAAATCGCTGGGAGATATGGGTTACACGAACTTACCTTGCCAAGACAATATAAAGGTATACAGAGCACTCACTCCTTCAAGGTCTGTCCGCACTCGGAAGAGGAGTTTGGTCGGTGGTGGTCTGCGCAGGTACCCATTTATCCTCGTGGACAAGAATGTACACAGGCATCAGCTACCTCATCTAGGTTTTTCACACCAGCACCAACTTTGGAAACTACAAGCTCTGCGGCAACGCAGAGCTTGTAGTTTCCAAAGTTTGTGCTTGTAGTTCACGAGCACGGGCAGCGACATCGGCTTCCGCGCGACCATCATCAAAGCCCTGCGAATCAAGCCTGGCAACACCGTCGCGCTTCGAATTCACCGTTGCCCTTTATTTCCATTTTTCGGGTTTCAATTTTGACGAGGTGATTCTCTGTCAACGTGTAATTCTCATGCATGTACTATGAAATTAAGCATTGTAATATTTTCCTGATCTGAACCAACAAAATATTCATCATCCTTGGGTGTTTTGGAGTTTTCAATCTTGGTTCTTAGTGTTATACTGTACGTCTGTCTTCAGGTCTGATCGAAGAGGTTTTGAATAGCAAGGGCCAGCAAATATCTTATGAGGATGTGTGTGCCATACTGCCTGTATGCTGCTAGGACATGTTTGGTGTATGTTTGACAACATGCAGTTTGTACTCGATCCTATCAACAGCGGATACAGGCCAACTCGATGCAGAATTGCCTGCAAGGCAATAAGAAGGCCGCCCATTGCCAGCTCATTCTTCACATGTTCGAACTGCGCCCGGCGATGGGGCGTGGGCGGCCCTCAGAGATTGCGTGGGCGGCCGCCTGAATGGGCGTGGAAGGCTTTGTTGGATTCAATGAGGTTTGCAATCGGCGTCTGTCTGAAAGATGTGGAAAGATGTGGAAGGCTTCGTTGTCGGTTGAATAAGAAGCTGGGTTGCTCTTCTTCAATCCATATCACAGCAGAACTCAGCGACGGAACTCGAACGATCGTCTTGCAGACTTTGCCCGCCTAGCCTTCGATTATGTATGTGCTTATTCTCTACTCATAATCCCATATTGTGTGTACCGCTTCAGGATTTCACGATCCCCGTGTTGTTGCCCTTCTTTAAGCCATATCACAACAGGACCCAGCGACGGAACTTAAACGACCATCTACAAGCAGACTTTGCCAACCTAGCCTTAGCTATTGTATGTGGTGATTCCTTGCTGATAATCCCCTACTGTTGCTAACTCTGACGTGTGCCGATCGCAGCATTTCAAGATGACGGAGCTTTTTATTCCTCCCAAGGAAATGTTCTTTCGCCTTCGTGGCTACGTTAGCAACTACTTCCTCTACTCCCGCCACGAGCAGGAGCCTACATTCGGGCACACCCCTGGACCCGTGTACCCGGATCAATGGTGGCAGCTCATTCCGGGAACAGGGAAGTTTGCAGGGTATTATCAAATCCAGAGCAAATTTACAGGGAAGGTGATTTTCTCGAGGAATTCACCCGTGAAGCTGATCGGCCATGTCGTTGGAGACGGGAGGTACGAGGACAACTGGTTCAAGATCGAGCCCGGCACCGGCAAGCTCGCAGGCTACTTCCGTCTTCGAAATTACCAAACGGACAGAGTGCTTTTCTCCCGCCTCCAGCCCGAGCCTGAGTTAAACGACTACCCAGGATGAATGTGAAGTAGTTGTCGTCGCCGCTTTTCAAGTGGCGACGACAACTACTTCACATTCATCCTAGAGGATTTGGAGATGGAGATAACCAGAGTTGAGTACCATCTTGACAAGGCGATGGTTACTGACTCCGTTTCAGAGGTCATAGGTTCAACGACGCTGAGGAACCGCGGCGCTGTCTCTCAGGTGGCCGAGTTCGAATTTACCCGGGACGAAACCAATTCCTCCTCCTTCGAATACACCCATGGGTACCCCATCCGCGTGGGAACCAGTGGAAAGGTTGCGATACCCTTTGTTGAATCCGGTCAAGTGAAAGTCGACGGAACCAAATCCCAGACGTTGAAATGGGGCACGGCAATCACTGAAACCAAGCCTTACTCCATTCGGCTCCATGCAGTTGGTCCCTTCGACAATAAAATCACTGTGACAGCGTTCGTTAGCCGCTCCAACATTGAGGTTCTGTTCACAGTCTACTCGAGATCTGTCACTAAGGGGTTCGAGGGGTTCTGTCAAAGGTACGTCCATAGATTCCTCGAACCCCTCGAGGAATCTATGGACGTACCTTTGACAATGATATTTCTGCAGGAAGATCAATGTCCTTCGATCATCACACCAGACAGGTATCGTTCCGAATTACAGGAGGACGGAGAAAGTTCTCGAAACAGTACTTTCTTATTGTTTACTTTGTGTTAGATTCGACTAACTGTGTCCACTGCACGAGCTTCTAGAGTCCACAGAGGACCCCAGGGCACATGGGACTAACCAAATGGCGGATGACTCTTAGTTTAAGGAGGTGGCAGTAGAAATTGGACCATATCTTACACACTTTCGGAATTGCATATGTATCTCGCAGAATCATCCAAAGGATATGTTCGGCTACGTGCCGACTACAGTAGAGTATATCCATCTATCTGAACAAATTTTGCATCTACTTTCTATCATGGCATAACAACAGTGCAGCCCTACGTGAGATCAGCCCGAACAACCGCTTGCTATTGGTACCAGCGAATAATTGGAGAACCTGTATCTGATAAAAACGGAGTGACTTTTCGTCTTCACTTCGTTTTCATCATTTGGGAGTTTCTGCTGGTGCCCATTTCTCTGTGGGAGTTTGGCGGAGCAGGTTGTCAATGCATGTACAGGGGAAGCAAGAGAATCAGACCTGAACAGCACCTGAAACAGTACGTAGCGCGAGGGATGCATGCTCATGATTGATGATTACTATAATGGATCATTTTCTTGTAGCCTTTGTATGAATCAAACTTTGTCTCTTTGAAACCG